ACCCCTCATTGGGTCTGAAAAGACGACTTATTTGGTTAAGATCATGCCATGCTCAAGAATCACAAAGGTTGGGACCAAAAATGCCCTAAATGAAGGAATGTCTAGATCTATAAGAAAAAATGATCAAGCTAGGAGCTTTTTACCTCCTGAAGGTTGCTAGCAAGGTGAGAATCCCATATCCAAACTTCTTCCTAGGGCTGGCAAATATGTACCACAGAGAACCAACCAACATGTTACCAACCGAACCAATTAAATCGGTAGCCAAGTTGTTTGGTAGCCAATATGTTTGGCTGGTAATACCATGCCAATTAAGTAATCTTGGTACGGTAACGGTATGCAATTTTGAATACCACGGTTGTACCGTACCAACCAATATATATATATATATATATATATATATATATATATATATATATATATATATATATATATATATAAAGTCATAAAATACAAAGAAATATGAGTTCTCATATCTTCATGTTTATTTAGAATAACAACTAACAAGTCTTAGAATTACTAAAGTAACACATTGACCGACAAATTTCTTGATACTTATTTTTTGATGTACACGAGATTGGTGATACATAAACTGAAACTTAAAAAGGAATACTACCTTCTCATTCCTTGTATTGTTTCCATTTGTTTCCTCTAGCAACTTGCTAGGGGTGGACCTCTTTTAATCCTTTTAGTGGTTTCCAAAAAAATATATTACCAGAAGCGAGTGAAGCAACGACCAAATGTCCACAAATTCAACTTATATTCATGTATAGTACATACTAGTTAAAACTTTTGGTATATACCAAATACCAATATGTACCAACCAAATTTGTTGGTAGCCAAATTAATTGGTACCAAGTACACTTGGTACGGTACTGGTAGATAAAATCTTATACCAACTATAGTTGGTACGGTATACGGTTTGGAGAAAAAAAACTTGGTACCGTACCAATTCCACCCCTACTTCTTCCAAGCTCCAATATACTTCTACCACCTTCTTTTTCTTCTTCAAGAACACCACCAAAACACACAAATGAGCTCAAGGGGTACTCTACACACTCCTGGTTAGCTAGTGGGACGATTTTTAGGTGGAGGCTAGTGAGGGTGAAGGTCTCGGGGCCATAAAGGGAATTATATAAGATGCAAACCCTCAAAACTAGGGTTTTGGTCTGAATAGCGTACGCACGACATACCTGCTAAGTACGCTCGATGTACGCGTGTGAGTCTCGCTTTTCTCATGCATGAGTACGCCATGTGTACACTCCGAGTATGCACGAAGTACGGACCACAAAGGCAAACTTAAACATATTTAGGGTTAAAAACGAACCTTCTCGGGATGGGTGTTACAGTGTGTAGATGGACGGTAAAGTCGTGATGTGAAGATACTTATTATGATGTGAAGTTGATGGTCATCTAGTATAATGTCAGGCCGTGATTAGGGGGTGCATGGCGATGTGAAGGTGGGTGATTTCGGGTCTTGATGCTAAAAGTGTAGGTGGCTACATTGTTGGTGTTGATGGTTGGTTTCAATATGATGATGATGTGGGCTGAATGATAATGGTGTGTAGGGTTTTGTCATCGATCTTGAATAGGGTACCAAGTTGCTTTTATTCATACTCGAAAACCTCTAAAATTTCGATCCACGACTATGTTTCTCGAATTGAATCACGTGAAAATCTACTTGATATTTGTAGTATCTCTTCAAATATCATGTGTAGCTAGCTTTAGTTTGATTTTATAGATGTTTCAAATTTGGATTCACTTTTATATTTTTTGTTTTTGATGTGATTTAGTTTTTGATTGTGTGTGTATGTGTTTTAAATTGTAGGTTTTTAGTGTGTGAATGTATAGGGGAGCCATGGCCGGAGAAGACAAATTGGGTGGTGGTGCTCGGTGGGGATACAAGATAGGATGGTGTAGGAGGAGAGAGGGAAAAGAGATAGATAGACAAAAGGAAGGGGGGAGGGGGAGAGAGAGATAGAGAGAGAGAGAGAGAGATGTATATAACTTGGGGTATGGGGTGGGGTCCATTTCATCTTCCAAATAGTTTTAATATGAAAACTAATAGTGAATTTGAAAAAAAAAACAAAAAACAAAATGTAAGGGCGTGACAATCATTTTAACGAGGATATAGATCAAAATCACAAAAAAATATCCAAATTTGGATCACTAGTGTAAATTCAAACATTTTTAGACCAAAACCACAAAAAATGTCAACAACAATGACCACTTTTGCAGTTTTCTCTAACAAAAACTTAGACGGTAATTGACTCAGGGACCTCCGCTGCAAGATTTGGAAACTATATGGACCAGCCATATCAAATTTTCAAAAGTTGGATCAAATTTACAGATTGGAGCAAACGGTAGGGACCGAAATTGTAATTTACTTGAGAGACAATGATATATGAAAAGAAAGAAAAATTATGATACGACGAATGAAACAATGACAACAATCAAAAGGGACCGTCCAATAACTTAATACAACATATTGTACGGTTTTTGTTTCAATACAAAATTTGTGATATGCGTCTTTGACATTCATTTTATATAACTTCAAATTTATATTACATTTTATGACTTTTATGTTATATGATGGTGTGAGTGACAGAATATACAGATTTGAGATAATCTATAATATGAGTATTATTTTAATAGTATACTGAATATTGACAGTCAAGTTTTTCAATAGAAACGTGTTATGCATATTATTATCCCAAAATTTATCAATATGTTATTTTAAATAGTTATTTTTGTCATCTATAAATGGTTAGCAATCCATCTTGTTACATGTTTGCCTTTTTATTCATAAGACTTTTTTTTTTTTTTTTCAAAACTTTTAGAATGAACAAGCTTTTTCATTCCAAAGCTAAATATATCTTGGGCTAAACAAGTAAGAAATAACTTTTTCGAAAACAACTAATGCACGCCTATGAGTGCATATTACAAATAATGGGAATTCATCAAGCGATTAAACATAAAAAAGGTGAAAATTTGGTAGTACAAATTAATACAGATTTTATGTGAATTTTAAGTATTTTGTCTGAATTCATCATATGCCGAATCATAAATACCATAATAAATTCTCATATACGCATTAAATACCTTGAAATTCACATTGTTATTAAATGTGTGGAGTCAATCTTATATATTCTGAATTCATGTTCCATGTTTCATTGTACGTTTATATAATGTATATTCAATGTTATATGATGTGAATGTGAAACCCTTTTGATCAAGTATTTTTTTTTTTTTTTGGCACTTTCTTCCCACTTCTCATCTCATGAATCAATTATTTTGTTTAAATTAAGAAATACCAAACACATCCCTATAATTAATTATCATATTTTCCTAGTAATGTCCACATCCATTGGCACTATGTGTCATTAAGTTTCGTCTTTGTCATGCCACGATTTCCCTTTGCTCGCTCCCGGCTTGGTTGGTACTGCATATCATTATCATTATCATATGATCATATCATCAACCACCCGAGGTTGCAATACACTTCGGGCACGCATAAAGCCTTCCAATTAAGACTCAGAAAGATTTGTAGTTTTCTCCTTACATTCATTTGTCTTGTCAGGCATCTTCTTTCCTTACCCAAACTGCCCCAATCTTTTTCATTAGGATATTGATAGCCTGCCTGCCCTTGACATCCACATCGAATTCGTACAATTATTATTTTAAGTGGGCTATATAATATATCAAATAGATTTCTATTATTATTGTTATAAAACTCAAGTAAGAACTGGCTTAATCTGAGGTAAGTATGTGGGTCCAAAGATGATATGTATTATGTCGGCTAGTCTTTTGACTTTATTTTTAACAAGAATGAGTAAAAAGAAACCACATCATCACAACAATACCATATTATAAAGTATTGCTACATTATTGCATATCACCCTCTCTCTTCTCTCTTGGGGTATAATATATGGTAAAGGTTCTTCTTTAATCAGTGCTTAAAACCAACGGAGAAGGAAAGACAAATCAAAAAGAGCAAAAATAAATGTATATAAAACGATATTATATGCGTAAGTTAATCATTATTGTCATTCATAATGAAATAAATCAAACAAACCACAGAAAGAAATATAAATATATCGGTATAATATCCCTAGTTGATCATTAGTGGCATCGATGATGAGATGGGCCATGCTAATTTCTAAATAAAAACTTTGGATTAATTGTTTGAATGTATGCACTATGACATATTTATATTTTATAAACTTATTCTATCTTTTTTCGGTTTTAATTACCAACCTACTTATTTTGTTGATGTTGTATACTCATTTAGTTAAATGTCACAAGAAGGAATACAATTTTAGTTGTTGCATTGGATCTGGTGCATGTAGATGTAGATGTTTCTGATACATTAAGTTGCTTCAGAACCAAATTTAGTATCCCATCCAACACCACTAGTCATGTGAATATCACTGCTTTTAAGAATGATTCCATCCACCACTAAACTTGCGATTTCAAACAAATATGCAAAAGTCATTAGCATCATACACTAACTTCCAAAAAAAATTAAGAATAAATGACGCACTATACAGGAAACTTTACATTCACGTGTATTTTCTCTGTTATCTTGGACCCTCGATCACTCATTTCACGTACACTTTTCAGTTTTCTTGGCTTCTTGTTATGTTATTCGTTATTTAATTTATTTATTGATAATACCAAAATCTGTATATTTGACTTAGTAGCGTTGATAAAAAACCACATATATATGATTTTTTTTTTTCTTTTGAGATAAATTATCGTGCACTTACTTTTAATGTTACAACTCACAATACAGTACTTAATTCTTTATGTAAAGTGGGTAGAGTCGTTTAGCATTCGATTTACTAATGGATGCAATTGTTGGTTGATTTAATGTTGTTAGTTATAATATTGTGATATGGGGTTTATGTAAATACGGGTTATGTTCCAAGAATATTTAATGATCATCAAATAGAGAGTTATTTTTATTCAATAATTCCAGAAGGATAAAATGATGATTTACTGTTATTCAGACACTTGACTCATTCCAAGAAAAAGAAACATGTGTTCATACAACACTTCCTCTCACATACATGATTTATCGATACGATACTTGATGGAAGAAAAAAGAAATATAGCCTAAAACATGTTTTATTGGTTTGAATTTGTCCACAAAGTGGATGTTACATTAGATCCTATCTTGTAGGTAAGCTGAGAAGGTGACTGCCATTATAGAGACTGATAGACCTAATAGAAGTCCCGCAGGAATTGCTTTCCGTGTGGCTGCAAGACGAATTCCTGAAGCAATAAATTTTAAAAGTTTATGGCATTCAAGTAAATTTTTGGTGAAAATGATAAGCCAAAAGTGTTAATAATGTTAAAAAAAAAAATACCAAATATAGAAGCAAAAAGAAGAGAAGCTCCAAATGCAAGTGCATCACCTATCTCCTTTGTCTCAGATGATTGCATAAGATAGTAAGCCTGAAAGGGAAAATTTTCCATTTCCATGTGTATTTCATTAGATGGAATGGAATGGAATGGAATGACCAAGGAATGGAATGGAATAAGTCATTACGTTCAATTGTCAATGAATTTTCATATAAATCAAATTAATTAGCAGCCTCTTTACCCTCGGATGGAGGTAAGACTGTAACACCCCACCCCATATATTTACGGGGTTTGGGAATAGTTGTTATTACTTATTTATATTATAATAATACATAATGCATAGCTTTCACTTTAATTATAATTAAGGAACTTTTTTTTTTCTTTCAAAAAGTGAAAAATTAAACATAATAGAAAGTTCATTAGAGCCCATATAAGATTATAATAAAAAGTATATTATCTATCTACTTTTAGATGATAAAATCGTAATTTAATAAAAATCATGAAATTTCTAAAGAAAGATTTCTCTTTAAAATTAAAAAAGGATTATATATCCAAGGGATACGAAATGAATATTAAAGAAATTGGAAGCTATGTTGATTCAAAACAAACACTACTTAATAGCTTTTTTCAGCAGAGCTTTGGGACCTTAACATTTGCAATCGCATGCCTATGAAACAGAGTTGTTGGCTAATGTAAACTAACCTAGAATAAGGCTAGATTTTGATAAATGTAGTAAACTGATTTCAATAGTCAGTTTTAATTACAAACTTTTATATTGTAAACTGTCTTTGAAGTGCAAACTAAATAGGTCATCACATTAGTCTTAACTCTTAAGCACTAATCTATTTCCAACCCAAGATTCAAGATCAACATATGTCCATCATTCCACGAATGTATTGTTTCCCTATCATGCCTTTCTTAATAAGAATGCTAATACCATGTTGTTTTTTCATATTTTAAATATTACACCAATCTTTTTTTTTGTATTTCCAAGTTTTGGACCACAGATTGTCATCTATCATATTGGTAGTGGCTCCTAAACTTTTCTATTTGAATTGTCTGAGCATATTTTCATGTTGATAGGATATGAGGGGTACTTTTCCCATGATGTAATGGCATCTTTCTTTTCATATCATTGAACAAGTACAATTGCACGTCTGAGAGTAAATTGGGTAGCTAATTCAGATTGTTAGCTATCACCAAAGGAGTTATGAACTGGAGTTATGCTTCTTTATTTTAATACCTAAATACGATTTTTATTCCAGTAACGCAAACAGAGGTAAAAGGATTAACAGTGTAGCACTTACAACAGACATAAGAGTTGCCCCCGTAAGTCCGCCAAAAAGCGACCCTTTGCTTCCTGATTTGGTGTCTGGTTGCAAAATGCGAAGTCACGCCAGAAAAAAGCACAAATCAAGATGGAGGTTTTCAAAATATTTACGAAGTTAGGGTAAATGGGTAGCAATTTAAATAACTTACAGGCAAACAGACCACCGCCGAGGAGAAGAATAGCGTAACCTGCAGAAGCTGCAGGGGCAAAATCTTGAACAAGTTGAGACTTGCAGAGATGGCGAGTGTATGATCTTTGACTTGAAGGGCACGATGATAACCTCCTCAGCCTCTGTCGGTCCTTGCAGCTTCCAATGAAAATTGATTCAATTCCGACTGCGGTGGAAACTGTTGAAGAAGTAATTGAACTCCTCCGCACATGGTTAGAGGCGAATCCCTGTAACTGGTGACTGTAAACCACCGGCAACGTTCCCATCTTTCTCGTTCTCCTTTGCCGGTTAGACAGTGATAGTCGATAGATTAGATTACTACGGGAGAATTGCAGAATGGTCCTCGAAACGTTTTCAAAATTAAAGATTAGTCCCCGGCTCGCTTCAAGAGTGGTCCACAAACTTTTGTGGAAGTGATAGGCAACCCTCAAAGTCCGTTGAATTAATTCTTTTATTATTATTATTATTATTATATATATATAAGATGTCAAAAAAAGTAACAGTAAACAGCAACCTTTTTGGTCAATTTCGGCCCTTTTACTTATATATATTAAAAATTTCGGTCCTTCTACTTATTAATATTTTGCCTTCTTTTTCAGGAGTCCTTTTAAGCCATTTTTAAAATTGGTCCATCTACTTCGATTCATTGTACATCCTTATGGGCCCCCAATTTGCTCTAGATCTGAATTGGTCCACTTCTTTATTGAAATTGCAATTTGGTCCTTATATATATATATATATATATATATATATATATATATATATATATATATATATATATATATATTAAGATTGCGAAGAAAAAGAACAGTAAACCTGGCCTATATTTGTCTATTTTCGTCCCTTAACTTACATTTCCTGTAGGTCGCTGTCTTTTTGTATCTTGATGGGTTTTTTGTCATATCTATATTGTTAGTAAAGACGTGTCGTTTTTACGTACGCATAGTCATCGACTTCTGACACGACGAATATACATGCCTTCTTCTCTTTCTTTCACTGCCTCATCTTTTATTTTCAGAGGGTTTTCTTATTCGTCTGCTCCCATCTTCGATTAAAGCTTCCATCATCGTTCACATGCTTTTCTGGTAAATGGAATTGATCCCCAAAATACACAGTCTCTTCTCCTCTTCTCGCCTGACCATCTTCCCTCCGCTTGCTCTGAGGTTTCTTCTTCTTCTTCTGAGAATCGTTAACCTACACCAACTCCTACCCTAGAGAGCAAGTTTCATAATCGTCGGCCCCTACCACCGGATGTTCCACATTCAAATCGACGATTTAGGGCGTCCGACTTATGGCTGAATCGGTATGTGTTTCATGCTCTGTGATTGATTTTTAAGTGGATGATTATCAACGATCGATTCTCTCTGTTAACGGCGTCATAAACACTTTTTCCTCTAGGTTTATGTGATTATCAACGATCGATTCTCCTACCGCTTCTTTTGGTCCTTCCACCACCGCTACCTCAAATCGATTCTCCTCTTCACAAAACCAATACCATGTGATTCTCTCTCTCTCTCTCTCTCTCCCTCTCACTTTATCTGTTCCTCTATCTCTTTCTTTTCCAGAAATCGTATCTCTTTCTTTCTGTAATCGATTATGGCTCCACACACTTTTCTTCCCAGTGCGGTTTCTTCATGTGTGTTTGTTGTATCTGGACATCTCCTTCAACACGACATCAAAATTAGGTTTCTACGACACCTACAGATAGAGAACCGATATTGGACAGGAATCCACCGACATGGACTTCTCTCATGCCTTGCGAGCCTTGAATTCCGGTCATTTACTCTTCGTTTTCCCTTCTTCTTCAACATCTGTGGGATTGGAGGACTGTTTCACTCTACACACAGGTGTGAAAGGTATTATTTCTTCTCTCAGCACGAGATTTCGAATAAGCAGTTAATGACTTCATCTCCTAAAGCAAGTTTCCACTGTAGGTAAATGATGTCCAACAAGTTTTTTTTCCTGTTGGTATGATTTCTGTAATTTTGATGATTACAGACCTAGAAACACGCCATGGGTTTTGGAAAAGAAATTGTGAAGGGAGCAGACGAGTACAATGGATTCAGTTGGGTAATTGATTTTGACTTCAATCGACACTTTCTTTTTCTACCAACTCTGTATGCTTTCTCTACTTTGTTTCTGAGATTGGAATTTGCTCTTCTTATCAGCTTTGCTTACCACATGTTCGATGAAATACCTTTGAGGCATTCACAACGATTGTAACCAGCTCATAAGGTTTCTTTTGCCATCCAGTCTTTGAATGTTAAAGAAAATATTTTTTGAAGTTTCTATTAGTTTAATATAATTATTATGAAGCAAAAAATTAGAAGTATGATGCAGGTCAAATGGAAGGCTTGCAATTTTGGGTCTCAAACCACAAGCTTACCAGCAATGGTATGAAACTTTAACTCTTTTTGAATAACCAAACTCACAAAATATAATGGAGTCTTGATAAAAATGTATATGTAGGCACAATTTGGGCAACAGCAGTGAAGAGTCGCTATTGGATTCTATTTTCAGTGTTGAAAGCTTAATTTGGGGTTTTTCAACACATGTCTAAAACATTAGCAGATGGAAACCTGTCTTTGGACAAAAGAGGTAAACTTTAAACATTTGTTTCATTAATCTTATAGTTTTTATTTTATATGTGACTTTGTATGTACGATTGTCGTTTTGTATAATCCTCATGGGAATATTAAAGAACATTCTATATTGCAATATGAAAACTAGCTTCTTTTTAGTATGCGTTAATTGGACTTCCTGTACCAGAACACCATTATCTTTTGGATTGGACTAGAGCACCAGCAGTTATTGGTTAAAATGATGATTTGTTCTTTGTAATGTTGAAGGGTAATCTTGACATTTAATATGCTTGGTTATGACTGTTAAATTTTGTTATCAGTTAGTTGTTATATAAGTCACTTATACGGTGGTTAAAGGTAGTTATAGAGGTTAAATTAATTGTCATCTTGAAGGGTTGTGATGGTTGGAGGTTGTATATATATATATATATATATATATATATATATATATATATATATATATATATATATATATATATATGTGTATCAGATTTATGTAATTAGTGTCTCAATTAATAAAAAATGTTTATGTTCCTATGTTAACAAAAATCTCAACCTGCACACATATCACAGAAGAGTGTTGTATAATATATCAGCTGATACATTAAGGATGAGAGTATGAAATATATTTCTTATTGATTTTGATTTGTTAATTTTGGCTGCGGTAGCTCAAAATGGTAAGGTACCCATAACATATCCTGAATTATTGATTAACATTCCCATTTTATGACCTTTCTTTTAAATATTGCATTTTATAATAGCTTTGTGCTTTTATATTGAAATAGCTATTGAGTCGACTCTCTTTGCTTGCTTCCAGACAAATGGACGAATCTGTTGTTAAGGTGGTCGTGGGGGGGGGGGGGGGTTATCAAACTCTTATCAGCGCTGATATGGAGAGAAAGCTTGACCATATGGTAAATTTTTTATAAAAAAATTAAAAACAATCCAATAATTATTTAATAGTAGTTAAAAAATAGATATAATTATATTTTATTGGCAGACATGGTTTTTTGAAGCAAAAGAAGATTGGATTCATTGGTAATTATTATAAATACAAAAGATTTATTGTTAAAAATCTATAAAAAAAGAAAAATAAATAATAACTATAGTTATTTATATGTATGTTAATTTTTGTTTCTCTTTTGCTTCAGGAACACTTCTTATTGAGCCCAAAGCTTTTCATACATCTTTATACAAGAAAATGTGTTATTTTCTCCTTTAAACGTTAGATCATTATGTCCTATTGTGCTTATTGTTTTCATTGATTTGCAAACCTGAAGGTATGCCATGTATCTATGTTTGTTGCTCCAGGTCCATGGTTTGGGATGTCTAATGTTTCTTACCTTAATAAATATCGAACTATCAATGAACATGGAGTGAGAACATTCTTATTTTCTGTTGGGTGTTTGATTTTTCGTTTGATTTTGTTCTCTTCCTGTTTTACGTCTTTACGTCTCACCCATATCCGTCCTCTTTCACTTTTGTAGGATAACCCAATCGATTGTTCATATTCAACATCGATCTCATCCTTCTCTCACTTAAATACCAAACCGATGAACTCAGCTGGGCCAGCAAGCTGATCTTAGGGTCTTTCACTTATTTTTTACAGTCGACAACTGCATCAGGTTATATGAAGCATACAAGATGCACGCTGTTATTGCAATTGATTGTTGTTGCTGCAACTGATGGTCATCGAACCCAACTGCCATCAACTAATTTGGTTCAGTGGGAGACAGAAGGTGAGGGAAGACAGGAAAGAGTGTAAGAGCAGTTTGATTGCATCATTTGTTTCTGAATTTCACGATTTTTAGTGTTTTCTAAACTTATTGATTCTGTTCTTTGTGCTTTTTTAAGTTTTGAACACCAGCTGCTCGACAAAACTCCTCAACGAAAAATCTGGTCAAGAGTGTGTTTGTACTTCGAAAACTATATCATCGATCTCTTCTTCCTAGATTAAACTTATATTTCTTACAACATGGTAAATACATTGGCACTTTTGTAGAATAACCCAATTATGTTTTTGCTTCATTAGGCAAACACTCGGACATATGGTAGGGGTTCATTTTGATATCAAGTTGTTCAAGACCACTGGCTGACAGAGTTTTAGAGGTTAGTTCGATGACCATTAGTGTCTCGATCCCTCTAATCCCTAGATTTGTAATCATGATAACTTACATCTCGATTATGTGAATCATACTACCAACTATACAAGTTTGATTTACTACAAGTTTTGTAGCTGATTCGTTTCAATTGCATTACTTTTACTTCTTTCTAGGCACACTCCATCGTTATGGATTCAACTTCACCCAGTCAAGTATACTTATAGTTGTTGTTGATTTCATATTTCACAGATTTGTTGTTTGTTTCGTTTCGTTGCAGGTTTAATGAAGATTTCAACACTTCAAACTTCTGTTTGTAAGTTTTTTTTTTTGAATATTCTTTTGCACTTTTTATTTATTATTGTTCTATAGTTGTAAATTTTGTTCTCTAATAGCAAATTACCTTTCAGTAAACCCAGACAACAAAGCTTACTTCAAATCAAGATTTAGAGTGGTATCAGCCACTTGGTCAGGTGTGTGGAATCTGTCGTACAGGAGACTAGAGGAAGGGAAACAATAGCCAGTACTCTGTAGGAGATTATGTGGGTTCGATTTCATTTCCAGGAAGAGGAGTAAAACATTTGAGAACAAATTGATGTCAAAATGACATTATCTGATAAAATTGTTGCTAGCAAAATCTGTTGCTGTCAAGTTGTATGAATTTTTACTGTTGTCCGTATGAAATATGTTATATTTATGGTTTTATGTTGTTTGCAGATGATGCAATCGACGTTGACTATCAGTATGACCAGAATTATATTGAAGGTGCAAAGAGTGGTAGAAGATCATTTGTAAAGCAGCAAAGTAAAATAAAATTGACTCAAGCAACATACTTTACTGTAGCTACCAATTAGAACAATGTACTATACTTCCAAACAAAAGTGACACCTTTCGACCCCCGCAACGCGGGGGTCACCTTTCTAGTTATTATTATTATTACTCCCTCCGTCCCAAAATTATTGTCCACCTTACTATTTTAGTTTGTCCCAAAATTATTGTCCACTACCAAAAGTAGATATACACTTTTACCATATCACCCATAACATTTAATAAAGTAAACTTGAATAATTACAAACGCACATTTCCCATTGGTTTTAGAAAAGGACAAGAGAGTCATTTTATTCAAAAAGACAAAACTAATGATTGTTTTTCTTAATCTATGTGTTTTTTGTCTGTGGACAATAATTTTGGGACGGAGGGAGTATTATTATTATTATTATTATTATTATTATTATTATTATTATTATTATATTATTTTTGAAACTTTCGATGTTTTGAAAATTTCATGTTTATGGAGAAAGAACATTCTTCCAACAACCCATCAGTTGGTTCATATTGTTTCGTCAAAAAGTATGATGCAAAATAATATATGCTCAACAAAAATTTCATTTGTGTGATTATGCGAAAATTTAGTTTGTATATGTAATTATCTCCTTTTTAGTGTGATAACCGTGGCGAGTGAGATAATTCACAATTTCATGATTATATATCTTTTTGCCTTTAATGGCATTCGGTTATATATACTTTTCATGCCCATACACATTACAATAGAATGACAAACCAGAATTTATGATTTGTGCCATAAATAATATTACCAGCACACTTCATTAATTTATCCACACATTCCATCAACTTATTAGGTCAAAACCCTTCACACTCACCTCTTAAATATTTTTCCCTCCTCGATCCAAAACATCATATTTTATCGAATTTTCCTCAAGCACTCATCTTACTCCCATCTACATATTTTTGGATGCTTGTGATATGTGCATATCATTACACCCACATGTCACACCATGTGTTTTCCTTGGTTACCTGACTAACCAAAGGTTAAAGAGGGAGTACATGATTACTATCCAAAAGAACCCTTATAAATAGTACAAAATCGGAGTCGAGTGTTAGTGTCATGTGTCGGCGCAACATGTCTCTTATCTCTATATATAATTATATATGTTACAATGTTGCTCTTTCTTCACAAGGACTCCTTTGAAAGTAACTATGGACTCCACAAATATCGAACATATTCTTCAAGAGTCATTAATTAAACAGATATCTCACATCACAACTTTGAAAATACATACATGATTACTCGTCTAAGCAAGCTAGCAAACCATATAAGATATACGTAGTATTTCGCACCACACACTCACCTTCCCCGAGAGTAATTAAGGTACCCTGTCAAGTTTCAGGCAATTTGACACGGGTTACAAAGGACATGCAATTATACCCCTGTTTATTAGTACTTGTATATGTATATACCCTGTGTCCCGAGCAGGCAGCATCTAGCGACGAAAGCTTCGGGCCTCACGTGGTTGCTCTCCCTCAACAGCTCGAAGTTTGACCAATGTGTAGACTGCAGCTCCGGCAAGGGCTCCAAGGGTCGGTGCCAATAGGTATACCCATATCACTGTGTAGTTCCCTGCTGCAACTGCTGGACCTAATGTACGCACTGGGTTCATTGAAGCACCACTCGAAGGTCTAACAACAAGATTAATTACGATTTCTTCAACAAATTATAAACAATATTGTAATAGCGTTTTCCGAGTATAGACTTACCCGGCAACAAGAATGTTGAGCATAACAGTAGCTCCAACTGCAATACCCGCCAATTCTCCCACCTGAATATTCACATCTATCAATGAAAAACTGTAAAAGGAAAAGAAAATCGTAAATGGTGGGCTTATACGTACAGCACGAGTATCAGTAGCAACAGCTGTGACGACAAAGAGGAGATTGAAGGTTATGAGGAACTCAAGGGCAAAAGCTTGGCCGGTGCTGACAGAAGGGACGGTGACACCACCGGACATATAGGGATCGAAGACGCCTTTGAGAGCAAAAGAAGCACATATGGAGGCTGATACTTGTGCTAAGATGTAAGCAGGGACCTGTGCCCATGGAAAATGGCGCAGTGCTGCAAATGCGATGGTGAGAGATGGGTTTAAATGGGCTCCGGAGATATGACCGGTGGAAAGTATTATTATCATCACGGCTAGCCCTGCACATGCTGCATTTCCGATTAATGACTCCGATCCTGAGTATTTCTCGTTCACTATTGGTCCTGCTGTTGCTGCGAATATTAAGATAAACGTTCCCACGAATTCTGCTCCCAACTGTAAATCCCATCACCCCAATAAAATATTAAGGTACTCTTTAGTAATTGGAAAAGCAGGATGATAACTGTAAAGAATGAAGAGTACCTTTCGGGTGAGAGAGATGTCGGGAGCAGGGAAATCAGTGAAACAGGAGTGAGGTGCACCGAGTGATGGAGCATCAACAGGCAGACACTTGCAACGGGGCATTGACTTGCGGTCACTATACGACAGAGAGTCGATTCGCAGGGACGTAAACAGCGGACCTCCGGGCGTTCCAGGCGTCGCCGGTGCTGATACGGGCGGCGTTTGCCCATACCCACTTTCCATTTCAAATATCGATCCCTCGGCCCAGCCCTCTTCCCTTCGGCTTATATAATATGCTATAAATACAGTTTTTTTTTTCTTTTTTCTTTGAGTAGGATGTAGGTTGAATGGCAAGTACCTTACATAATTTGTCGACTTTTATAAAGGTATGGCTACACAATCGTTTGAATACGAGCCAGAACGAATCACGATCCTCTCTTTTTAAAAAAAGAAAAAAAAAATCTGAAGTTACATACTTGGGAGATTTTTATAAATGTTGAGCTAAGGAGAAGGAAGTTTGAAGATAGCCAGGCTAATGAAGTGAGCTAGATGAAAGAAAGATTGAGTGGCGAAACTATAATCATACAATGTGTTATCTTTGATATCTATTTGGGGAATTGAAACGAGTGAAGGAAGTTGGGAAGAAACGAATTTAAAAGTTATGATGAAGGAACTAGCTAAGAGGCGAGCGAATCAGGAAGAAGATGAGGGATGATATATATATAGCAAGAATGGTGTAAAGGTAGTTTTAAAAGGTGAAACCTGCAACACTGTGGTGGAATTGGAAAGGAAAGGGGGAGTGTGGAGTTTTGGAGTGTACGTGGGTCATGTCTACAAAGGGAAAGGGGAGGAGAACAGGAAGGTCAACTCTTGGGCAATCATCAATCGTAATCGACTTCAACTTTTAAGAAGCCATGCTCACGTCACAGCCCGTTACCTTGAACTATCTCACAGAAGTCACAGCTCGTAGGAGTTTATTAACAAGGCCGTAGTGATTGTAAATTTATTTACCAAATAATGGTAGCATAAAACTTATTTAACAAAATATAGTAAAAACATTATAGACCACAATATTTTCTATTAAAATTTTAAAAATACAAAACTGGTATCTATCTTTTTTCCGCCTTTCAAGCCATTTCTACCGATGTTGTATAACATGTTTCTGAGGGATGATATATCATTAAGCAGGTAATCTCTCTCTCTCTCTCTCTTTATATATATATATATATATATATATATATATATATTATATATATATATATATTATATATATATATATTTTAGGTTCTATGGAAAACAAAAAAACCTTAAAAAAAACCTTAAAAATCATAAAAATGCATAAAAATAATACTTAGAGATCATAAAAAATATTTTTGAATTTTTTTTATAAAAAATCGCAGGTTTTTATTGAAATTCGCTGAAAAAAAAAATAAAAAATCAATTTTCTTTTTTTTTTTTGTAAAAAAAAAAAAATTTTCAAAATTTTTTTCACCGGTTTTGTATAAAAAGCTGCGATTTTTTCAAAAAAAAGTTTTGTGATCTAAGTATTTTTTTTTATGCATTTTTATGATTTTTAGGGTTTTTTTGTTTTCCAAATAACTCTTCCCTATATATATATATATATATATATATATATATATATATATATATATATATATATATATATATATATATATATATTTCTCGGTGATCTTCCTCTTTCACCGTTTATGGTGGATCACTCTTCCATAAAATTCGATTGCTTGTTTATGTTGTATTACCCAGATCGCAAAAAACGAATAATATAATAGGAAAATAATTAAGCTAAAAATTAACTAAAGGGTAAATGAGAGGAGAAATGACACATTAGGCATAAGGGGGAAGTGACCCGTCGTTTTATTCCTTATTATCTAAATCAAAAGGTAGAAGATGCCACATGTATATAGTCAACTAAATTGTCAAACTTAAAAGTCAAAAATACAATTATTTTAACTTTTTTAAATCCAGCAAAACAGCAATGTTTTCCCAAACTAATAGAAATGAAAAACATTCTCGATGACACCCACATGTCTTCCACCTCCTTCTTCGGTGGTTATCGAGTTTGCGCTTTCCTCGACATCACCGAATCTAATCACCATGCTCTCAAATACTTCTTCATCTCGTTGCTTCTTCCCACAAGAAGCTTATTCCATATCTCTGGACGAGTTTGTCGGAGCTCTTAGAGAATATCAAAAATGAGATCTCAGATAAGAAATCCACTAATTTTAATAAGCAGAGTGATAAGATGGCGTTTGAATTTGTGCTCAAGCTTATCACTAGAGTTCTTCCGTTAGAGATGAAGATCAAGGGGAAAGGTCCTGGAAGCATCACCACGTGGTTAGCTCTTCAAGTATGTAACATCCTGAAAACTACAAGGAGGTTTTTCATTTTGAAAATAGAATAAACAGTTAAACCTTTTCTTCAAAAACCATTTAGTAAATTTTTTTTGATTGAAACCATATATTATCGGAGTTAAATTTACAAAACTATGGAAGCGAACATCTTCGATGCGTGTGTACAGTCTCGCCGAGCTCTTCTCACGAACGACCTGCAAAATGTTTAATTCACAACTGTAAGCATAAAGCTTAGTGAGTCCCCAGTATACCACATATTCCATCATATATACAATACATCCACACAAGATCTCGGCTCTAGCGCCGAGCAACCAAATCTCCTAACCACATGCACGCATTGTAACATCCATAAAATTCAAGCCAAATTAAAACTTTTTGAAACATTTCAAAACCAATAAGTATTACACTGGTATTTCCAAAATGATTTATTATCAGAGTTTCCCACAGACCATAAGTCCAAAACACGAGGATGTGTACGATTACGCCTTCGCCTTGCCGAGGCATCTGAAACACCTGAAACAATAAACTGAAACCGTAAGCACAAAGCTTAGTGAGTTCCCCCAAAATACCAACACCTTACAAATATAACCATATCATATAACAAATACAGAACAACATGCATAATGAGCCGTCAGCCTGACTAGACTCGCAGGCCTTCAGTCTATCTGGACCGCCTCGTAGGCCTTCAGTCTATCTGGACCGCTCTCCGAGCCTTCGGCCTGACTGAATCCCTTTGCAGGGCCTTCAGTTTATCCGGACCGCCCTGGGTATGTTGGCCTACAGTACAAGGCAGGACCGCCTCAACCCAACCCCCAACCAAACAAATATGTGCATATAAATATCATACGCTAGCTCATTTCATATAACAGTCAAACCGATCTAACAGATCACCAATCATAGCAACATCCCAATAACCGGGATACAGACCTAACCGGTCACTAACATAGCATCATCCTCTAACCAGGAAAATCATGTGCACATAGATATCATATAACACTAGCATGTATATATATAACAGTCAAACCGATCTAACAGATCACAAATCATAGCAACAATCCTATGACCAGGATATCGACCTAACAGGTCACTAACATAGCATCTCACCATCCTAACTACCAGGATGTAAATTAGTAAGCATAACATGCAATAATCCGAATACAATCCATAAAGGGCCAGCCTTGGTGCCTTAGACCCTGTTGATATAGTGAGGATAACTCACCTGGCACTGCTAAAGTCCCGTAGACACAATCCTACACTGCTGAAGTTCTGCAGACTCAACCCCAGCTGTTGGATGACAGATTCCCGAGCTGTCAACACCAAAATAACACTCAATTAATAATTGGGTCCCAACACGTAACCACAAATGCATCCTTGGATAATTACTACATTACCCCAAGGTTGGCTTTATTCAAGCCCAAGGCCCAAAGTCAACTGGGAATCAAAGCCCAACATATGGCCTAATTTTCCAAATTGGGCCCAAGCCTATACATGGTCTTATTCTAAGGCCCAACCTCATATAATCATTAAGGCCCAGACTATGGCCCTTCTATGGCCCAATTTTTCCAAATTGGGCCCAAACCCCTTACATGGGTCTTACCCTAGGCCCATTAAATTATTCTAGTCCAATTGCTTGACTTTGGCTGGCCCATTAATAACCCAATCATCAAGGCCCAACAATAAACCCAAGTGAAATTAGGGTTTCACATAGAATGATGATTAGGGTTAAGTTTCCTACTTAACCCATTAAGGACTTAATCCTCTAAGGACTTAATCCATTAAGTCCAATATCGCTTAGATTACTCTTTGCCAATGATTATTATTTAATATCTCAAGTTATTAAATAATTCTCGCGTGTCCCGGTTACTTCCCCTAATTAGGGTTTTATTAGCATTAGGGTTTTCCCAACCCAAATACTAGCCCATTTATCAATTTGTTGGGCTTTTAGGTCAATTAGGGCTTTATTGGGCCTCTTAGGCCCACTAGAATATCATTAAGCCCATTAAGGTTTTATTCGGGTCCATTAGAGTCCATTAGGGTTTCAAGCACCCTAAACGTATCAAACTTTAACGAGGCAAGCACACCGCCACCCGGCACGACGACCGGTGGCGGCAGCCACCACCATACGGTGGTGGTTAGGGTTTATTTTATTATTTTTGTCACCATTACAATGTACAACTCGATAATGCACACACACACACTAATAATAACACACACGCACACACACAGCCACCTTGTGGTGGCCGGCGGCGGCAGATGGTGGCAGCCACCACCTCATGGTGGTGGTAGTGATCTCTTTCCAGATTTCGGCCAACGTTTTTTTCCCACTCACACAATACACCCACCTAAGCATACAGAAATCACACACATACACACAACCACCATCCATGGTGGCTGGTGGCGACGGAAACAAGGCAGCAAGTGGCGGCAACCCACACCCGGCTTGCTAGATGCGAACACTGTTGGATCAGGCCCTTTGAAAACACACACAATCACACACACTTAGACTAACGTAATGTAGATTTGTGTTTACTACCTGAACACTTTTTATTGATCTCACAGTTAACGTTTAAATAAGAAACAAACAAACTTAATCCTAAAGAAAAGGTAGCTAACCTACTTCTACGTGAACTTCCTAAAAGCCAGGAGAAATAAGCCCATGACTTTTGACCTGGTAGACTTTAATAAAACTTCTAATATACAAGAATAAACAACTCAGTTACAATATGCTAAACTATTGTAAACCCATGAACTGATCCACAACTTCGACCCATGACCCGGATGATCCGTGAACACACCGATTAACCCAACAATCACCCCTTAATCGGTTGTTCATACCTTTCACTCACAGCAACGTTTAGTCACCTTCCTTTCGAACCATCTCGATTCACGACTTTTCCCGGACACCCGACCTTCACCTCGGTCACGTCCAAAGTCCTTCATACAATCCTAACTTTTCCCGGGCACCCGACCTTCACCTCGGTCACGTCCAAAGTCCTCCATACCCGGCTGTTGTTTGTCACCACACAGAAACCGTTTTCACCTAACAGTTCTGTGAAACGAGAGCCTTCTTCCACCGATCAAGAAAACAAAGCAACCCACTTTTCCCGTCTTCTATCACCTGCAAAACAAAACAAACCCAAAGCCACCTGCTTTGACGGATCTTTTCTATTCGTTTTCTCACGCATCTTCGGTAACTCTCTCCATTTTCCGGTGACATACCCACAACTTACCGCCAGAATCACCACCTTGTCGGACACCACCAAAAACTAAAGACAGCCGGCAAGAAACCCACCGACTGAAACACCTTCTCTTCCATTAACCATTGACAAATGCCAGCACCTTCACAACCTCTACTGTCTCGAACCTCCTTGTGCGATAAGACCTTCTGTTTTCTGCTCCCCGCAACAAAAAGGTCACTGCCAACCACCCGACTTCCACTGTGATGGCAGCCCCGCACCCGAAGGCTCGTCCCCTTCGAAAGTCGACTCTCAAAACGACCTTGTT